AGTCAGTAGAAGTTCTATATCTTTCTATATTATTAGTTCTATTATTTCTATATTATTTTAGCTTCAAATTTGCATTTTTTGGTGTGGGACAAATGTAAATGTTTATGAGATCTTCCTCAAAAAAAAAAAAGGTTTTTTTTTTCCCATTTCAGACTCCCATCTGCCCATATGTCCAGTCTTACCTCTTAGAAGGTTTCTTGACTTTGTTCCAGCTTAGAGGCCACAGTCTCTTCAGGTGGCAGTTAGATGTCCATTCATCAGGCTCAAGGAGCACTCTGGCATAGTTTTCAATAAATCTCATCCCAATGACTGAACAGCACATTCAGCACTCACGGGAAACTATTCTTTTAGTATGTGTTTCCCATTTGACATCTAAGAAGAAAGAAAATAGGGTTTTTTTGTTTGTTTGTTTTTGTTTTTTTGAGGTTTCCCCGAGTCTTTGTCTTTCTGAAGGGTTGAGAAGGTTACATTCAAAATTGAGAAGCTGACCTTGTGTCAATGAGAAAACCCGACAGTGTGTCTCTCACCATCCTAGTCACTAGGGCTCCATGAAGGAAGTTCTGACAGGAAGTGTGGGGTCAGAGTGAGCTCCAGAACTCATTCTCACGATCAGTGACCTCTGCATTTGGTGAACTACTCACTGTCCACTCTCTTCAAGAATTCTAGGTGTGGCTGGAGATATAGCTCACCAGCTGAGAACACTTAGGGCTCTTCCGGAACACCCGAGTTCAGATCCCTGCACCCACATCAGGTGGCTCACAACCACTTGTAACTGCAGCTCCAGGGGATCAGATGCACTCTTCTGGCCTCTGCAGGCATCTGCATTCATGTACATCTACATACAATTAAAAATAACATAAAGTTTTTGAAAAGAGCTCTATGTAGGTGGGAGCATTCCTTTTTCTTACTCTTTAACGGTCCTTGTGCTTGCTAAATGGGCACTGGATTAAAGGTTTCACAGTAGGGGGCCCCACCCAATTTGGGGATTAGGCCAGGGTTTTCTATCATAGGTCTAGTTATTCCTTGTGGCAAGTGACAGAATGGTCTTTGATCCATGCACCTGCCAATTTCATCTTTTGATGCTCCGTTCTTTCTTAAATCTGGTCCTTGCTACTGAAAAATGTTACAGGCAAATTTGACCAGTGGAAACCCTGGCATCCCTAGGGCTTTATCTATCTCTTGCTACTTATTTTATCTTTTGGGGGTACTCTAGCCAATTAATGATAGTTCACCTTGGTTGCCAACTTGACACTGGGAAGAACCCTCTGTTGAAGAATCGCCTCCAACAAACTGGCCTGCGGACATGCGTTGTGAGGCGTTGTCTTGACTGGTGGTTGATGGGGAAGGGCTCAGTGCATTGTGGGAGGTGCCAAGGTTGGCCTAGGCTGTCCAAGTGTAAGAAGTGTTTGCCATGGTCTCTGAGTCAGTCCTCTAGGTTCCTGCTTTGAGTTCCTGACTTGGCTTCCCTCAGTGATAGACTGCAATCTGTAAGCCAAAGTTGTTTTGGATCCATGTTTTATTACAGTAACAGCAACCAAACTAGAACACCAATGAAAATCAGCTGTGTCATTTCTGTTGTCTCTGTATCAATATCTATGTATAATATATTTGCTTCAAAAGCTCTAAGAATTCTGTAGGTCCTCACTGTTTTTATTTAGCTCTAATTGTTTAACCTGCTTTGCCTTGGGATTTGCAATAGTTACTTTTCTGATGCTGTACTAAAATACCATAACCGTCAGGTGATGTGTTGCATACCTTTAACCCCGGCACTTGGGAGGCAGAGGCAAGTCGATCTTTGTGAGTTCAAAGCCAGCTTCATTTACATAGTGAGTTCCAGAACTGTTGTTTTATCTTCAACACAGTGGCTGTACCTTAATCTACTGCTATTTCAGGCAGCAACTGCAACTCCACAGTTACCAGCCTGCTTCTCCGGAAGTAGCCTAGCGGCTCAGGCCACAGCCTGGTGGGAATTCTGTTCCCACAGGCACCGGCTCTGTCACTGCCACTAAAGATAGCTTTAATTAAATCTCTCCCATTCTATTTATAAATAAGACTCGAGATTCAAAGGCTGGGGTGAAAACCTGCTAGCTCAAAGAGGCTGTGTAGCAACTAGATGACCTCCTCTCCTTTCTGGTGTTTCTCAAAAACTCGTCCTTCTGTTCCACCAAAACAAAAGAAACCAATGCTGCTCAAAATCCCTCCCTACTACTTCTGGTGTGTCTCTCTACCTCTTCCAGATGCCCTTGGATGCTCTATGATTACTTTCTGTCAACTAGTTGCTAACTCAGCTTCCTGACCCAAGGCTAATTGTAGCTGGAGCGTTTTCTCTCCAGGTCCCACCAAACCCTGCAGTCCCTTAGCCCACCTATAAAATAAACACACGGATGCTTATATTATTTAAACTGCTTGGCCATTAGCTCAGGCCTATCATTGTCTAGCTCTTACTCTTATATTCAGCCCATTTCAATTAATCTATACTTTGCCACATGGCTCACGGCTTATTGGTACCTACATCTTCCTTGTCCTGGGCGGCTGCAGTCCCTCCACCTCAGCCTTCCACTTCACCCAATTTTCTTCTCTTTGTCCCGCCTATACTTCCTGCCTGGCTACTGGCCAATCAGTGTTTTATTTATTACCCAATCAGAGCAACACACGTAACATACAGAAACTCCCACAGCAGTTAATTTTATTAAATTAACGTAAATGCAAATTCAGGGTTCACAGTGTGACTGAATATCCCCCAACATAGGACAGCCAGAACTACATAGTGAGATCCTATCTCCATAAATAAATAAATAAAAATAAATAAATAAATAAAACCAAACACTGTGACCAAGGCAATTTATAAAAGGAGGCGTTTATTTGGGCTTATAGTTCCCAAGGGAAAGAAGTCTATGACAGGAGAGTAGAGACATGGAAATACAGAATGCTGAGAGGTTTTCACCTCTCTTGAGAAAAACTGAGTGATACCTTTCAGTATTAAAGTTGTTTATTCTTTAGATTCAGTCATTTCACTTCCCGATGAGTGTCTGACAGATGTAAGTAGTATATGTGGGAGATTAATAGGTAAATTTATTGTAGTATTATTTACAGCAGTGAGACAAGGGAACTAATTAAATTGCTTTTCAGATGGGGCCATTAGAAGCAAATTGCAATGGTCAGGGGACTGGAGAGTAAACTATGATCTCATGTATGCACTACCGACCTCTGGAAAACCACAAGAACCAGGCTAATGATTTTTTTTAATCCCCAAAGCAAAACAATAGAGTTGATTTCAAAACAATATGTCCTATTTCTTTGGAGCAATTAGGGATAAGTATGCAAGACCCGCTCTTCCTGCCCACACTGTGCAGCCATCTCCCCACAAGTGCCAATGGCTTTCTGATTCTGGGAAAGGAGGAATATTCACTTAAAAATAATAATAAAAAAATACCAGCCAAAGCAAAAAAGACCATATTGAACTTCCTCTGTAAGTTGAAACAGTTCATTATTTGGTACTAATAAAGAGATGTTCTGCTTTTGAATCTAATCAGAATAATTGCTGGGTAAGAAGTTGTGGGGTATTTGGACCATGTCTTTCCATGGGCTCTCCCCTAAGCATGAGGCAAACTGAATGGGCCAGTCAAACCAGTGGGAGAACTTACAATTGAAGACCACAGTGAGAGAAATTACGTTATAGTGAGTGGACCTAACAATACTCTTCCATTGGGAAGGATTCTGGGATGGATGTTTACTCTTGAGATCCAAGTTACTTACTCTCTTCAGAAAAAGAGACAAGGCTACATCTTGCTTCTTTTCGTGACCTTTCTACTTACTTTCCTTGGTGTTTTCCAAGGAAATCGTTGTGCCAGTTGGATCATGCCCTAATAATTAGGTCACCTCAAAATATCATCGGTATAAACTCTATTTAGTACACACATCTGTAGATGGAACAGGAACCAACTAAACTATGGTGGGCTCAGCTGGGAAGGGCCTATTTCTCTTATTTGGTGGTCAACTTCCCATTGGTTAGTCAAAGTCACGTGGCCAGGCCCAGAATCCAAGGGTAGGGAACTACCCCTTGCCGCCAGGGAGAGGGACTGCTAAGGAAAGAAATGAAAATTAAGGCTGTATGCCTTGTATCACAACCGTCAACATGTCACTGTTTGCACAAGACCCGAAATGTTTGTGTCTTCTCCTGTGTGTTTGTCATTTTCTTGCCTGCTAGCTTCTCTCTGTGGTCTGTTTCCCCATCACGTAGAGAATTAGAGGCCCAGAAATATGCAGTCCACAAGATTTATTTCAACCAAGATAGCATGTAAGCATGCATAGCTAAAAAAAAGCCAGAGCCCCTTACAGAAGGGGTGAGGGCTCCAGAGAGGGAACAACATCTGCCCCGCTTCCCAGGATTTTTTTTTTTAAATAGGGTGAGGAGCAGAGCATTTCTCCTTCCTGGACCTGGTACAGTGCATTTAGCCTGTTAGGTCATTTTAAATGACAGCAGGGTGCCGCGGCTGAGATTCAAGTCCTGAGACAGGGAAGCGGTGTCAGCATGAAGAAATGAAGAAGCGTCTGACCGCCAGATGAGTTTCACACAAGTGGCCGGCCCCAAATAGCTCGAGCCATCTCTATTTATACTTCAAAAATAAACATGCTTTTCCATACCAATAAACATGTTTTTCCCATGTAGTAGTAGTTCATTAAATGGTTTTGCATTTAATTAACAGAATTAATAAATGCCAAGTTTCAAATTAATCCTGTGAGATGGATTAAGCATCAAATTTGTTACTCCCTACCATGGCACTGAGATTCATTGATCTCTTCCAAGACCCACTTTTATGCGGGCCTTCTAATAGCTCAATTAATTGCATTCCTGGAACTTGCCAACCATTACTGATACTGCTTCTACCCCTTCAAATGAAACTGCTAAAAGTAGGAGATATTATTACCCTCACTGTGCAGATGAGAACATTCACTCTTCAAGAGGGTAACCTGCCCAGAGTACCCACAACTGAGGCTAGGAGGCAGGTCTATCTGATTCGTGGAACCACCAGCCCATAGTCTTGCCTACGCTGCTGGCTGGGTCTGTTTTGTTCTTTTCCTTCACTTCCTCACGTTCCGAGAACACAAAAAGCTTTCGTTTGTTATTATTCCGTCCACAGCCCACTTTCACATCGGGACCGCCTCAGGAGGATCTGGTGGACCGGAAGTGCTTGCTGAACAAATACACGCTCCGCTCCTGTAACAAAGTCTTCTGCCAGCCGTGGCAGAAATGTGTCGACGGAACCTGTGTCTGCAAACTCCCTTACAAGTGCCCCAAGAGCGGCACCCCAGTGTGTGCCACCAACGGAAGGCAGTTCCCCACGTACTGTCACCAGAAGAGTTTTGAATGTCTTAACCCAGAGACGAAGTTCTCAAATAATGGAACATGCACAGATGGAGGTAGGAAAGACCAAGTGTGTGACCAAGTCACTGTGGCGGGAGGGCAACGGCAGGCCATCCATCCTCTCACAAAAGGCTTCCTCTATGAAATATTCTAATGGCAAGTCTTAACACGGGGGCTTCTTAAACTTGTTTCCACTCATGACCCCCTTTTCACTCAGGAAAATTATTGGGTGACTCTGAGCATATGAATACACAAAATGGGCTACAAATCAAATATTGGCTAATGATTTTAAGAAGCTGATTTTAAAATGTCTTTGATATGTGTATAACTTTACCATTTATTAAACATGAAAGCAAATTTGCATCCTAATGAGATGGATGTACTTAACATGAGTTAATCCTGCCTGAATATTTGACATCGTAGGGCATAATCTTCAGTGTTTTTCAGAGCTGATCAATGTTTTGGTTCTAGAGCCCCTCAATGCTGAGAATCTTGCTTCACATACATTCATTATACAAAGTGGCAGAAGTATGCTCAGGACCATCTCAGAAATTATTGGAAATTCTGTTCTGATCTCAAGCCAATATTCATTTAATCATTAAAAAAGAAAAACAGTACTACTGAAGTCAGCAACTCAAACAGGAGTTTTTAAAAATCGAACATTCTAATCCAATCCAATCCAAAGCTGCACATTAATCTGAGGCTCCTGTGCTGAGAAGTGGGAGAAACTATTAGGAGTCTTTGTGTTCTGTAATTAATCATTACATTTCTGTAGGAGGAAAAAAGCTTTGTATGTACAGTAAAAAATGTCCCAGCAGCCTTGGATCTGAGCCAAGGTATTTCAGGCAGCATGCATCCACACTGCTCAGCATGACGCATGCTCAGTGGAAAGAGAGCATGTTGTGTGTTCGGAAACATGGCTGCAGTGAAGTCACATGAAGCAACGGGGTCACACACTGCCAGAAACTCCTCAGAGCATCGCACACATTTGATGGTTTCTCTCTTTTTTCCCCTTTCATTCTTTTTTTGTTTTGTTCTGTTCGTTTCTTTTTGAGACAGGGTTTCTCTATGTAGCCCTGACTGTCCTGGAACTCTGTAGACCAGAATGGCCTTGAATTCAGAGATCCACCTGCCTCTGCCTCCACCTCCCAAGTGCTGGGATTAAAAGTGTGCACCACCTGCCAGCTACACATTTGATTTTTAATTAACTTTTGGTTGTGTTTTCAAGAACCTTTTACCAACTTTTGCCATCTACAATCAACTAAGCAACTCTGTGGAGGGTTATGACCCACTGTTTATAAGCTGTTTTTAGGTAGTAGTGATTGAAGTGACATCTAGAAAAATCCAGGGGTCACCAGAACAGTCTTTTCTTGAGTCCCCGGGGCTCTGAGGTGCTGCTCTTTGCTGCTCGGCCCTTCAGAATGTCCCCACTCTCACTTCTACTTGGTTGAAGGGATTGTTCACTGGGCCACGCAATTGTTTCAGAATTCAGTGAAAAGGTCTTGCTATGGAGGGCTGGAGCGATGGCTCAGGAGTTAAGAGAGCTCTTGTTCTTCCAGAGCAGAATTCAGAACCCAGCACCCTTGTTAGGTGGCTCACAACTGCCTGTCACTCCAGCTGCAGGAGATCCAAAGCCCTCTTCTGACCTCTGCTGGTGCTCCCTACACACATACACACACACACACACACACACACACACACACACACACACACACGGCATAATCATACACATAAATAAACAAGTAATCCTTAAAATGTCTTAGTATGAGATTGGTACTGATACAGCCTGCTCTGGCCTCAGCTTACCCACCAGAAATCTAACCTCAGTAATGTCTCCTGGAATCTGTCCCCTCAACACTGTCCTCCCCCTCACCCAGGCCCCACCCCATTGACACTGGTTTTCCAAGGATAGCTGGAGACACTGCTGACCTGGGACCAAGGCAGCACTTCAGGCAGGACCTTGTCTATACTCAGTCCAGGGGCCTGATGCAACTAGGAAGCTAGGATCCTGGCACGCAGCTTAGGAATCTATAAAATCTAAAAGAGTAGGGGGACCTCAATGCCAGTCAAGTTTTATTTCAAGTTCCTGTAAGCTTACCCGGCTGTTAAGTGACATTCTTAGTGACCTCTCTGGGCCCCATGTTCCATCACCTGTAAAGTATGAATAGTAGAAGTCTGTAAGTCCTGAGACTCTTGGAGGAATTAAATAAAAGGAAGCATGTAGGCTCTCTGCAAAGTCTGCACAGGCAAAGACTCATTACAGTTTAGCTATCCCAGTAAGACCCAGATCTGTCCTCGGATACAAAGTTATGGCACACACTGTATTTGGAAAGGAATGCTTAAGACATTCCTCTTAAAGGCACCGTGACACAGGTGCTTTCTTTCATTGTTTCCTTCCTTCTAAGCGGGTGGGTGTTGGAGTAACATTAGTGAAGAGTAGCATCTTAGTTACTGTTCTATTGCTGGGATGAGGCACCATGAACAAGGCGACTTATAAAAGAAAGCATTTAATTGGAGACTCCCTAACAGTTTCAGAGGGTAAGTCCAAGACCCTCATAGCAGGGAGGAAGTATGGCAACAGGCAGGCAGGCATGGTGCTGGAGTAGTAGGTGAGAGTTTATATCTTATCTGCAAGTTGGAGGGAGGGAAGGAGGGAAGGAGGGAGAAAGAGAGAAAGAGAGAGACAGAGAAAGAGAGAGACAGAGAAAGAGAGAGACAGAGAGAGAGAAACAGAGACAGAGAGAGAGAGACAGAGACAGAGACACAGAGAGAGAGAGAGACTGAGCCTGGCATGGCCTTTTGAATCCTCAACTCCCACCTTGTGTCACACTTCCTCCAATAAGGCCACACCACCTTCCCAAACAGTTCCACCAGCCTTTCAAATATGAGCTTATGGGGGCCATTCTCATTCAAACCACCACAGTTAGTAAAGCAAATTCCAATCCTCAGCTTCATATCTTCAATTGAAGATAAATATAACTTTATCTTTAAGGGTTGGTATGAGAATTTAGTGGTTTATGCCAATGAACAGCATGGCCACTAACACGATTAGGACTCCCAAAATAATAGCTTATCACTTGCTAAAACAATTATGATGTTCAAAGTAAATCTGAAGTTGGGTATTTTAATAAAGACAAGTTAAAAAGGAAGAAAATAAATGAAATATTGTCTGTCTAACCTTTTGGTTTTTTATTTTAGGGAAATTTAATGTTTCCTTAAGTTATGGATCTACAGATGCAGAGGGAATTGTTCAAGTCAAACTTGTGGACCAAGATGAGAAAATGTTCATATGTAAAAAAAGCTGGGGCATGATGGAAGCCAATGTGGCCTGCTTTGACCTTGGATTTCAACAGTGAGTGCTTGTCTCAAAGGATCTGCCGGACAGTTAATTCCATTGTTCCAGCTGTTTTCTTTCTGACTGGTCAATCTCCCTGGGCTGTAATGCCCTTCTATGTAAGCTGAGAATCTAACCACCCACCTCCCAGCACTGTGGTGAGCACTAAATGTGTCCGAGTTTGCCCAGCCGTAAGAGTTCTGTGAGCAGAGAGCACCATGCTTCTGGACAGATCCTGTGGAGACTTTTACACCCTCAAACACACTCCTGACTGTTCGATTTCATGCATCTAGAGTGACATCTATTTTTTCAGATCTCATATTGTTTATTTATGACCTTTCTCTTTTTATCCTCTGTTAGCCTTGCAGAGATGTTTGTACTTGTAAATGTTTTTATTTCTTTACTTCTATATCCTTACTCTTTGCTGTTATCTTTAACTATGCCATTTCCATATTTAATTTCCCCTTTTATTATTATTACTATTTTATTAAAGGGGACAGTGCCGGGGATTGAGCCCAGGGCCTCATGCCCAGGAGTCAGTACAGCCCCAGCCCACCCTTCCGATTTGTTTCTGATTCGTTTTGTGTTGAATGCTTAACTTAAACCATTTGCAGGTGCTCTTACTTTACTGACAGACATACTGAAGGTACAATTTCCCTCTGGGAATGCTTCGTCTGTACTCTCTACGTTTCCATAAGTGGCATTTTATTTATTGTTTTTCATAACATAAATAACATTTATGTTTATGTTTCCATAAGTAACAGTTTATTTATGTTACTCATAACATATCCTAATTTTCCAATGCAATTTTTGACGTAGTTTTGAAATTTCTTTTGTGCTTTTTCAAATGAATACATTTGTTTGCTTTTAATTAACTATTTGTTATTGATTTCCTAGTTAACTGTATTGTCACAGAATGTCCCTCTATGGTAATTATTTTTTTTAAGCATTTGTTGAAATTTGTTTTTTTATTTTTATTTTTATTTTTTTTTATTTTTTTTGGTTTTTCGAGACAGGGTTTCTCTGTGTAGCTTTGCGCCTTTCCTGGAACTCACTTGGTAGTCCAGGCTGGCCTCGAACTCACAGAGATCCGCCTGGCTCTGCCTCCCGAGTGCTGGGATTAAAGGCGTGCGCCACCACCGCCCGGCAGTTTTTTTATTTTTAAATACTTATATTCAGAGGTCTATAAAATAGATATCCAGTACAATAAGCAAGCTGTTAACTGTTTTTCTCAAATCTTTCCATTTCTTTCTTTCTGTCTTTATCTTCTTTAAATATATTATTTAATATACTACCTTATTCTTTGAGAATTTCCTACATGTCTACTATATATGTTAGTCATATCCATCCATGCTATCCCTGTATCACCTGACCCCTCAACAGTTCCTTCCTCCCAACAACATATATTTTTCTTTTTATTTCTCCCATTTTTTTATAACCCACTGAGTCCTTTTAACGCTGCCAACATGTGCATGGGTGGAGTCATTTACTGGAGCATGGACAACTTACTAGTGGCCACGCCCCCAAAGAAAAATGACTGCCCCTCCCCCAGGAGCTATCAATTGCCAATAGCTTCTCAGCTAGGGGCAGGGCCTCATGAGTCCCTCCTCCACCCATTCTGGATCTTTTTCCTGGCTTGACCTTGTGTAGATCTTGAGCAGATAACCACAGCTGCTGTGAGTTCATGAGTGGGCCTTTATTATTTGAGTGAGCCACAGCATACTTCTGATTTTTCATAGTTGTGGCCTGCAACCTCTCTTTTCCAGTTAGTGGCAAACTCTTGGTCTTCAACTACATGGTAGCTCTCTTTTGCTATAAATTGCCTAAGTTCATGGACAGACTTCTCTGATTTCAGCCAGTGAGGACTGTTGGTATTTACTATATCTTCTTTGCTTTGTTTTTAAGGCAGGGTCTCATGTAGCCCAGGCTGGCCTCGAACTCAACAAGGATGGTCTTCAGCTTTTGTTGCTCCCACCTCCACCTCCAGAAATGCTAGGATGATAGGGTTGTGCCACCACACCCAGTTAATACAGTGTTGGAAACGAAACCCAGTTAGGCAAGTACACAACCAACTAACCTACACCTCAGCTATTTATCACATTTTCTACAATGATTTTAATGTGAAGTTTTCATATTCACTTCTCAATTTGCCCCAATGGCTCGTTTTTTTGGTGTGTGTGTTTGTTTTTTGGTATGACTATTCTGAATCTTCGTTGTGGACTCAGAGAAACTAGAAATACCTCTCTGTTCTCTTTTTGCTTTCATTCTAGCTAATCTGTTACTAACACTGCAATTAGTATTTTATTTTTATTTCCATTTCTGATGCATCTTTGCTCAACTTTTAATTTTAACCCATTTTCCTCTATAAAGAGAAGCAGGAAGCAATTGAATATCCTAGAATAACAGTTTACCGTGAGTCATCATTTCTGGACTGTTGGGTAAAACAGAGAAATTCTTTTCACATATTTTGAACACACTGAGACTTCAAAGAATAGCATTATATTAATTATTATTATTATTATTATTATTATTATTTTTGTTTTTCGAGTCAGGGTTTCTCTGTGTAGCTTTGCGCCTTTCCTGGATCTCACTCTGTAGCCCAGGCTGGCCTGGAACTCACAAAGATCCACCTGGCTCTGCCTCCCGAGTGCTGGGATTAAAGGTGTGCACCACCACCATCCGGCTTATATTAATTACTTTTTGCATTGCATTGACCAAAAAGGTGTAAGAGAGAGACTTAACGACAGAAACTGTGTATTCTGGCTCCCGTTTCAGAGAGCTCCCTGTTGTGACCAGGTCCACTGTTTCTAGGTCTGTGGTGAGGCAGATTATCAGGGGGGTAGAAACATGTGGAGCAGAGGATACTCGTGGTGGACAGGAAACAAGGGGCCCTAAGCATATGCCCCTACTGACCTGCTTCCTCCAATGAGACAACACCCTTTGACCATTCAAAATAAGGCTATCATATTATGAACACAGCAAGGGATTAAATTATTCATTAGGTCAGAGTCTTCATGACTAGTTCCCTCTGGAAATGTTCCTTCTCACAGACACAGCCAGCAGTGTGCTTTCCTAAAAAGAATGTTAAAACTGACAACCAAAATTCATCTTCAAAGAGATGCCAAAATACCACCTCAATACTATCAAGGCTGAAACAAAGAGGTAGTTTATTGTAAAAGCCAAACAAAACTGTTAGAGTTCAAACAAGTTGACCTCCCACATCTTAAGCAATAATGAGATCAACTAGGTAAGGGTTCCAAAATGGGGGGCAGGTGTGAAGACTCCTCAAAAGAAAAGATGGGAAGTTTGTGCTGACCTTTTCTGACGTATACTTCCAGAATCCTCAGATCAAGGCAATCCACTCTGTTTTGTGAAGAAAAAAGTAGTAACATGATAAAAAGTCAGGCATGACACTCTCTGATGGGAAGGAAACATCAAGGGTGAAGGAAGCATTCCTCCTCAGTAAAAGCTGGAAAACAAGACTTGCTGAATGTTTGCCATGCTTTCAACCCTGACTGCTTGGTTGAAATTGATTATTTTAGTTCATCATTACAAAACCCAAATTATGATTCAAGTGAAGGTTTTAAGGCAAAGGGAAGGAGAATGTTAGTGTCTCCTATAATTTGTAAATCATTTGGGGGGAAAAATTGCTGTAGCCCCTCACTTCCTACGATAAGGTTATAAACACAAAGTTGAACTGTTCCCCTATCAGATTTCACTCATTCTGTTCACAGGGGTGCTCTTGTCACACGAAGACGGTTTAATATACCTGGAAATCTCCGTATAAACGTCACCAAATGCCTGCATGTACGTTGCCGGGGAATAGAGACCAGTTTGGCGGAGTGCACCTTTACCAAGAGAAGAACTAACACTTACCAGGGCTTAGCCGATGTAGTGTGTTACACACAGGATGCAGGTTGGCAGAGTATTTCCATAAAGATTGTTTCTTTCATAAATGCCTATATTAAGTAAACAATGATGGATATGCAATTGTCAGTCAAGGAGACAATGATACCTCTATAAAGTTTGGAGTTTAGAACTGTCTTACTTAGGGTTTCTATTGCTGTGAAGAGACACCAGGACCATAGCAACTCTTACAAAGGAAATCATTTAATTGGGTGGCTTACCATTTCAGAGGTTTAGTCCATTATCATTGTGGCGGAACATGGTGGCATGCAGGCAGACATGGTGCTGTAGGAGGAGCTAAAAGTTAATACATCTGGATCTGCAAGCAACAGGAAGTGGTCTGAGACACTGGGCATAGCTAGAGCATATATGAAACTTCAAAGCCCACTCAATGACATGCTTCCTCCAACAAAGCCACATCTCCTAATAGTGCCCCTCCCTATGAGCTTATGGGGGCCATTACATTCAAACTACCACAAGAACCTATATTTGTGACCTCCATTGTTCTTTTTTTGTCACTCAAAACCTGCCGCCCAAGTTCCTTTGTGGAAGCAAAATTATCTGCCTCCTCTTCGCTTCCTTGAATATGTGAACTCAAATAACCATAGCAAATAAGTTGATTAACTATAAAGAGACACCTTGGCACCTCTTTTGATCATTAAATCCTATGTACATTATTATATTTCTTTAAAATGCTTAAGTGACTACCTCATTGCCTCAGTTTCCCCTGAAACCACATTAGAAATATTTTGGCATATGTATGGGGCCAAAGACAAGAACTATTACCCTTTCTAGTTCTAAGAAAATCAAAGTACTAGAACATGTAAATGTCTAGCCCATGTGTGTCCAAAAAGTGGAGGCTGGGTTAGTGTAGGAGCAAAAGAATAGGGGTGAACAGTAGTTCCCCATGACAGGTGATGCTCCAGGCTCCTGAATCCTCTGTGTTAGTAACTAAAACACTTAATGATTTGTTTTATTTTTATTTTTAGATTGTTTTGGTTTTTAGTTTTAATAATCATACACATTGTAGCTGGATAGTTTTCTCTCCTGGTCCCGCCAAGCCCCGGCAGTCTGACAGCCCACTTATAAAATAAACACACAGACGCTTACATTATTTAAACTGTTTGGCCTAATGGCTCAGGCTTCTAGCTATCTAGTTCTTACATCTTAAATTAATCGATTTCTATAAATCTATACCTTGCCACGTGGCTCAAGGCTTACCGGCATCTTCACATGCTGCTTGTCATGGTGGTGGCTGGCAGTGTCTCCCTCCGCCTTCCTGTTCTCTCAATTCTCCTCTCTGTTAGTCCCTCTGTTACTTCCTGCCTGGCTACTGGCCAATCAGTGTTTTATTTTTGACCAATCAGAGCAACACATTTGACATACAGACCATCCCACAGCAACACACATACAATATTTTGTGATTGAATTACTCCCCAGTAACCTCTCTTATTGTCCCTCCCCTGTGAACCCTTTCTTCTTGCCAACAAGTCTCCATTTCGCTTTCATTACTTTTCTTTTGAGAGACAGGGTCTTACTATGTATCCTTGGCTGTCCTGGAACTCCCTCTGTAGCCCAGGCTGGCCTTAAACACACAGAACTCTGCCTGCCTCTGCCTCCCAAGTGCTGGGGTTAAAGATACGCCCAGCTCTCCTCCTTCACCCCTCCCCACAGTGAGTTTAGTTTGGGCTGCTTGTATAAGCTTAAGTAAGGAGTTCTTTTTTTGGAGCATGAGCAACTCACCAGTGCTCACACTATCAAAGAAAACCACACATACACACACACACACACACACACACACACACACACACACACACACACACACAAGCACACACACTGCCAGTAGTTCCTCAGAAAGTAGACACCTCTCTGACCATGATGAAATGCTGAAGGACTGTCTGTTCAGGCCGTGTGTGTGTGCGTGTGTGTGTGTGTGTGTGTGTGTGTGTGTGTGTGTGTGAGCGTGTGTGCGTTGCTACTGTGTTATGTGGATGACAGTGTTTCACAGCACTCCTCCCCATTTTCCAGCTCGCACGTTCTTTCCATCCCCTCGTCTGCAATGGCCCCTGGGCCTTACAGAGGTGATGGAGCTATGTCCTGTTTATGGCTGAGCACTCAGTAGTCACTTCTGTTCTCAGCACATTGACCAGACCTAAGTGTCTGCAGCATCAACCTTCATCCACAGCACAAAGGCAGAGTCACACTAGTCCATGGATATAAACAAATATTTTGAAGGTATCTGGACACTATGACCGTTTAGCAAATGACAGTAGTAATATCTGAGTCACTGGTTTTGTTGCTGTGAAGAGACATCATGACCAAGGAAACTTTTATAAAAGAAAGCATTTAACTGGGGCCTTGCCTACAGTTCAGAGGTTTAGTCCAATATCGTCATGGCAGGGAACATGGCAGCATGCAGGCAGACATGGTGCTGGAGAAGGAGCTGAGTGCTACAGAGAGAGAGAGCAAGAGAGACAGAGACACACACAGAGGGAAGAGAGAGAAACGGAGAGAAATGGGGGACAGAGAGAGACATACAGACAGACAGACAGAGACAGACTGGGCCTGTCTTGGGCTTTTGAAACCTTAAAACCCACACCCAGTGACATACGTCCTCCAACAAAGCCACACCTCTAATCCTTCTAATCCTTTCAAACAGTTCTATTCCCTGGTGACCAGGCATTGAAATATATGAGCCTATGAGGGTCATTCTTATTCAAACCATTATAAGAAGGTTCTCCCCTCGGGTTAGACTTGTCATTCATAGAGATTTCACCTGCCTTAGAATACCAGGCATTTAGTGCCTCCCACAAAGTAGGCCTCAATCCAATCAGAAATTGGTGATTGCCCCCCAAACTGTCAGGCTTCTATCACACCAGTGGGCATATCTTGCCTGGATGGTTGATATTATAGCATGCAGGGTCCCCCTCTAGACTGTTGATACGTTTTCTTCCCCAGCAGCTTACATAGAACTTTCTGTCAGCTAGCTATCCAGGAGGAAGTTCACAGCTTAGATCCAGCTTGATTTCTATGTGTCTTGCAGACTAAGTGTGCGGTGTCATCAGCAACAGGGCCTTACAATCTAGTTATGATGAGCAGCCAAGAATAATGGCAGGAGCCTTTACTATCTGGGGGAGTTTCTTGGGACCTCTCTGACCAAAACTCATAGGAAGGTCTCCCACACCTAGTGCAAGGGTTTTCATTTAAAAAAAAAAATCGTAAGTCTGAGAGTAGCATTATCCACCTATGTAGGCTATCTTTGTTCCAACTTCTTTTTATTATTTTTTTAACTAGCTTGTAAAGTAGGTTTCTACATGGCTTTTTCACAATCCTTTGTTTTTACAGTCCTTCCCCCGCCCTCACATCTTCCCACCCTCCCACCCCCAAGTCTGTTCAAACCTTTTGGTTGCCTTGTATCTCCCATTGTACATGTCTTCACGTCCCATTTATCTTACTCTTTTTCTCCTCCTGCCTCCACCCACCCCATGGCTCCTTTCTTCCTTCCTGGCCTCCACTGACACTCATGCCAACCTACACACAGAAATCTAGAAATTCAAAACTAGAATCCACATTTGAGAGAAAAGGTACAGCATTTCTCTTTCCGGGCCTAGATTGTCTCATTTAGCATAAACATTTTCATTTCCACGCAAATTTAATTTTTATGACTGAATAAAATTCCATTGTGTATGTGTACCACATTATCCATTCATCAGTTGATGAACAACTAAGCTGATTCCATTTCCTAACTATTGTGCATAGACCATCAGAGAACATAGATGTGAGAGTATCCTTGTCATAAGGTATAGAGATTTTTAGATATATGTGTGGGAGTGATCTAGCTGAGTCACATGAAAGTTCTATTTTTAGCTTTTTTTTTTTTTCTAGACAGGGTTTCTCTGTGAAGCTTTTGTGCCACCACCGCAGGGCATATTTTTAGCTTTTTTTTTTTTTTTTTTTTTTTTTTTTTTTTTTTTTTTTTTTGGTTTTTCGAGACAGGGTTTCTCTGTGTAGCTTTGCGCCTTTCCTGGAACTCACTTGGTAGTCCAGGCTGGCCTCGAACTCACAGAGATCCGCCTGGCTCTGCCTCCGGAGTGCTGGGATTAAAGGCTATTTTTAGCTTTTTTAAGGGAACCTCCACACTGGTTTCCATAGTGGCTGCACCAATTTCTATTCCCATGAGAAGAAACAAGGGCTCCCCTCTCCCCAAATCCTCACCAGCATCTCTTGTCATCTGACTTGGTTCTAACAGCCATTCCGCTGGGATAAGACAGACTCTCAAAGTAGTTTGAATTTGAATTTCCCTCTGGCTAATGATGTTTAACCCTCTCTAAAGTGATTTTTTTTTTTTTTTTTTTTTTTGGTTTTTCGAGACAGGGTTTCTCTGTGTAGATTTGCGCCTTTCCTGGAACTCACTTGGTAGCCCAGGCTGGCCTCGAACTCACAGAGATCCGCCTGGCTCTGCCTCCCGAGTGCTGGGATTAAAGGCGTGCGCCACCACCGCCCGGCTCTAAAGTGATTATTAGCCAGCTGAATTTCTTCTTTGAGAACTCTCTGTTCAATTCCAGAGCTCATTTTCTGATTATGTTGCTTGTTTTCTTGATTTTCAAAACATGTCTTGTATATTCTATATATTAATCTTTTGTATTAAAATTAATCATATATGTAACTGGCAAGTATTTGCCATTCTGTAGGCTGCTCCTTCATTTTATTGATTTAATTTTAATTAATGTATTAACTTATTTTTGGTTTAGGGATGGGATCTTGCTATTTAGTTCAGGTTAACCTCAGGTCTGCAGTGATCCCTTTGTCTCAGCCCCCAAGGTGCCCCAGGATTAGAGAAATGTGCAATCATGCCCATTCCTTTGTATCATTTCTGGAAGTCATATTTTTAATCTTAGTTTTCCCTGTATCCCGTAACGTGCTAAGGATGTTATACCATGAATCCGTAAATAAATGTCACAAAGATAATCCCTGCTTTACAGATTCTCCAACCAATCAGTCCTTCCAGTGTGTGAACGGGAAACACATTCCTCAGGAGACAGTCTGCAATGGTGTCAATGAATGTGGAGATCAAAGTGATGAGCTGTGTTGCAAAGGTAGGGACAGACCCACCATTCAAATCCCCCATGTTCATTATTATGACTAAAAATGTCAACACATTTCATATGTGTGCATGCATATGGGGTGGATGTATATATGCACACGTGCACGTTTGCACACACGAGTGTATGTGTGTGCTGGGGACTGAACCCAGGGCCTTTCACATAGGTATGCTACCACTGAGCTACTGCCTCAGCCCCTACCTCTCTGGATGGTAAAGAGTGGAAATAACTTCTGCTTGTGTTTACACAGGTTGCCACGGCAAAGCTTTCCTTTGTAAGTCGGGCGTTTGCATTCCAAAGCACTATAAGTGCAATGGTGAAGTGGACTGCATTACAGGAGAAGACGAGAGTGATTGCAAAGGTAATCCAAAATTCACTGCCGATGGAACGTCTGAGGCTCCCCCGGTCTCCCTCTGGTTTCCTTTCCTCTCCTATTTAAAATAATGGGGATTAAGGCCAAGGGACGCGATCCATTAGCTTTCATGGACAAAATATGCAATAGAGTAACTACCCAAAACACCAAGCTTATTTTCCTACAGATTTTCTGAATATGTATATCATATACTTAGTAAAATACCATTGTTACTTCAACCACCCTACTTTAGGATGAGTGCCACCTTTAGTATTCCAGAAATGGTTCCAATTGCTTCCCTTTTAAAGAAAGAGCAAGTGAGAGCTGAGATGTATAACTGCTAACGCTCTCTGACGATTAAGTCACAGCAAATCCGTATCATCTCTCGATTGCATTTATCTCGTATAAGTTCCCTGTCATAGCTGGGGTTTCTATTACTGTGATAAAACACCATGACCAAAAGCAGCTTGGGCAGGAACAGGTTTACTGTATCCTACAATCCCTCAGGTCTAGCTTCATCACTGAGGAAAGTCCAGGCAGAAACCCAAAGGCAGGAACTGAAGAAGCCCTGGAAGAATGCTCCTTAGTGGTTTGCTTCGTGGGGCTTGTTCTCTATGGCTCGCTGGCTCAGCCTGTTCTCTTCTAACCCAGGACCACCTGCCCAGGGTGGCATTGCTTCCAGTGGACTGGGCCCTCCCACCTCAAGCATTAATCAAGAAAATGCCCATAAACTTGCCTACAGGCCAATCTCCCCAAGGGTATTTTCTCTGTTAAGATTCCCTACCCCCAGAAAATCTAGGTTTGTGTCAAGTTGACAAAACCCAACCAGGATACCCCCTCTTTGTTAGTGTAAGTTAAAAAATAATTATAACTTCATATAATTGTATAGTAAGTTTCCTTTTGAGTATCTGGACAGATGGAACTAAAATACTACTCTCTTTTAAAACTTAATTCTCTTGCTGAAGTGAACTTGTTATATGTTTAAATGCAAGATAAAAATCTTATTAGAATTAACATTAAGTTAAAATGAGATGCTATTTGGCTCCTTTTTTTCAACCTTTTGTAACTATTAATTTTAAGTTGCTATATTGTTTCTGATATATTAATGATTTGCATGTTTTTTACTTAAATAAAAATAATCTCTTCATGCTAATGCTTTGTTTTGTTTTTAGAAGCCAGACATCCTCAAATTCATGAAGGTAAGTCCATTTTCAATAGAAAATTTATAATTCTCGTTTGGGGTATGTGTGTAATAACATGGTGTGGGGTTTACTTTTCACACAGTTAAAAGTTATTATTCTTCACTGTGGTAAAACTCTGCTTCTGCGTTTTATTTTTCTTCAGGACTTGCACATTCAGATCAACGTAAGTTTTTATTAAAACCTTGGGATGTTGCAAAAACAGGTGATAATTGTCTTCCTGTAATTTATGTGAGCTGAGTATGGTATGAGTGCATACAAACAGGACCCCAGTTTTCTCAGTTCAGCTAGCAGAGGTCTTTGCTCACTGTGGTAGCCTTTCAGTCACACCAATGGGAAAAACCACACAGAGGGTGCTGCTCCACACATGGGACCTTTGCTCAACACCTTTCTTGTCTCCTTTTCCCTTCCAAAGCAAGCTTTTAAAGCAACCACCACCGGAAGAAATACAAAGCATTTCATATTCTGGTATCTATTTTATAAGCCATCGTTGAGCTCTTTGGAGCCACTTAAAAATTAGCGAATAAAGTACTAGCTATCATTATGACATTTCAAACAAAGTGTGTTTTAGTGGATTCTCCTGCCTCATCTCCCTCCCCTAAATCCCCCAGCTTAGTTATCATATAAAACGACTCAAGTAGTGTCTTGGGATTCCTGGGGAGGAGTCACCTCAGAACCCACCCTTGCCCTAAATGTCAATCTCAGTGAACACCTTGTGCTCCATCTCATTGTCATTTTCGCGCCTCTGCAGCTGCTGTTCGCCCCCCTCTCCTCCTCCTCTCTTTCTCCCTCCGTTCTTTCCTCTTCCTTCTCTAGCCTCGGACATCAGTGGCACAGGTGGGGAGTGGGGGTGAATTAATGATACTGCTCAGGTCTTTTTCATGTGATCGTGACTAGTTCCCTCTGGGCCTGTCTTGCTTACCTCTTACCCCTACTTGCCATTTTCCTGCCGACCACTCTAGTGTGGTTGGGTGTCTGTGTCGTTTTGTGTGTGTGTTTTCTCCTCCAGTGCACACTGTAATCTGTGGATTGTACATCCGTGATCACACATCTTTCACTGCGCTGTGTATCTTACGCTTCCTTTATCTTTCTTTTCCAAAGCACTGCCTCTGAAGGCTCTGTCTATGTTACCGTGTGTTCATCTACTCTGCTGCTTCTGGCCGCCTACATAAAGTGCATGCTCAGCTTTCCAGCTTACTCAATCTTTTGAGCAATGGACTATCAGCCCATCACCACACTGTGATAAACATCTTCTTCAGAATGTGTGAATGCTTTGAAACATCTACCTGGCAAGAGCGTAAGTCTTGGGGTAAGAAACTCCTTAACCGACAGGTAGCACGTGAATGTGCTTTGCCAGAGCCTTTAAGTACCAGTTCTCACATCCGGCTATACTGTCTGAACTCTCTCATCACCCACCAACATCTAACACCACCCATCTTTACACTGAGCCAGTTGCCAACTGCCAAGTGATGGCGTTGTCACTTAGTAACTTGGACTCTGGAATGGCCAATGGCTTGGGTCAGATTCACACAGGCCTACCAGGTTTTTGGTGTTTTTGAGAGTTTTGCCTCCTGCCTTTTCTTTTCCTTCACCAGTCCACATCTCCTCACCAGCTCACATGCTCTGCTTAATTTTAGATTTCTTTCACTGTAGTGTTTTCTCTCACAGATTTGAAGGCATCCCCTTTACAGTCTAGATATTAACCCTTTGCCAGCTTGAGACATCACAGATATCCTCTTCATTCTGTCCCCCATCTGTTTATTAGCTCCATCCATGATGAAATCTCTTGAAAAGGAATTCTTAGTTTTGGGTCAGCAAGATGGATTAGTGGATAAGCAGCTACCATCATGCCTGACGACTTGAGTATAATCCCCAGGAACTCAGTGGATGGAGAACTGACTTTTAAATTGTCCTGACTTCCACACACGTGCTCATACACACACCTACACAATATTCACACACTGTGAGTAGTGAATAAATAAATCAATGTAGAAAACGAAATGCTTAGTTTCTGTATCACCAAAGACATCAATCGTTTTCCCTGTGGCTTGTGCTTCTGAAGCTTCATGCCCTTCCAATGCCAGGACCCTTCAGCTGCACTGGACTTTCCCTCCTTGCCTTTGCTGAGCATTTAATGTTACCATTTGAGTCTTCTCTGATTCATACATGTACTCATGTGAGTATCTCTGAGAGAACCCTTCATGCCCTGGGACACAACTTCAGTATGTAATTCAGTAGATCCCTGTATGTCTGTTGCAAAGAGAATTTGAGAAACCCAGGAACGAAGTCCAAGACCACTGTGTCAAAGTGAAGTTGCTTTATCCTCATCCCAAACAGAGCAACATGCTGGTAGGAATTTGTCTCTGGATCTCCAAGCCATAGGGATTATGGTCTTGTCTGCCAAAGTGTCCTGTGATGGCAGGGTCGAAAGATACATAAAAAAGTTTAAGGAGGCACCCTAGATCATAATGCTAGCTAGCCATTCCTACACGAAAATCATTAAGACATCTCTAGGTGCATGGCTCCTGGGGGAGGCACCTTATGATGTACAATGTAGGGTGGACTTTTTAATGCCCACCTGGATCCTTGGTCAGGGCCAATGGCTGTTCTCTTCCTCATATAAAGAGCTGGAATGAGAGGGCAGAAAGGGAAATCTCTCTTTCCTGAGCTGAGTATTTTGTCTGCAGAGCATGAGTCTCGCTCCTCAGTTACACCAACAGACACCATCACCACCAGGAATTTCTACAAAGTTCATCTGCATCTTTCCAGTTGCCCAGCTATAGGAAGGAAACCAAACGACATGCTTGGGCACTTGTCTATAAAAAGAAGTGGGCCATATTTTAAATCGTCAGAGTTAAGCCATTTTAGTGATTGAATTTTCTCTAGAGACATAACATTAACCACTTGGATAATTTTCCGTTGTTTTATCACAGCAGAGGAAACTGAAGAAACAGAAATTTTGACTCCCAATATGGACACAGGTGAGTCAACTTTTTTCGTTGCTAGTTCACTGGTTTCAGCTAGCATTTTAATACCAAGTATGTATACATCATGTGTATAATATACACATATATTGTGTAATATATGTGTACGTATTACATATAAAATCAATCCAAGCAAAAATTAACTTCGATATAGGTTTAAGTAAAATGTAACACTTTCTTTCTCCTTCCTCATTGCTTTTATGAAAAGCAAACTCATGTTATGCTTGAGAATTGCTTCTAAAGCCAGATTAGTTCAAATGACTGATTCTGAAATGAAACATTACTAGAGTCCCACCTAAAGTTTTTCCTACCAGATAAGAGCTTCGCCAGTTTAGTCTTGTCAAAAATAACTTGATTTCAAGCATGACATACAATCTGTCTCTAAAATGGCAGATACTCTACACTAGCTGAGTGAGCCTGTCCTTGCTCTGTGTTATAAATCATGGTACCAGGAAGTTTCTGACAAGTTAGATAGAAGTTCCTGAGAAGGCAGTGACTTATTAAAGTTGGCAAGACTGACTTTTGAGCTTGACTCCATCATTTTTATTAACTATTTAATTTTATCACCCTTCTCAACTTAGATTATATACCAATTGGTTTGGGGAGATTTTAAAATAAAATTCATGTGATATTAACTTCTAATTTCCAGGGTCTCAAATCAGTAAACAATTTTCTAAACAAACCACTGAGTACAGGATTTATATCTCCAATCTAGAGATGCCAGGCAAGAAGGATTTTCTCTCTCTCTCTCTCTCTCTCTCTCTCTCTCTCTCTCTCTCTCTCTCTCTCTCACACACACACACACACACACACACACACACACACACCATTTTTGTCTACTAAAGATAACATTTGTTTTCAGATTCTATCTCTCCTGGTTTCACAGCCTTCAGTGAATGAGGATCTCTAATTTCTAGAGTCTAAACAAAAACTTCAGATCATCACACCCTTCCCTCAACACAGTTTGTAGGATAGGTGAGAGATTTTGATAAAATCTCTCCATATTCATTCACAACTTCTCTTTCTTGGGACCCTACCTCTTGCTGATATGCCCAAAATAATTACCATTAATATGAAGTGTCCTTTCTCATTTGAAGAAACTAATTTCTTAACCTTTTCATGCCATGACAAATACAGAGAAAGAATAAAGAAAACATCTTTACACTCCCATTTTCTTCCTTTCTTATGCATTCTCGTGCAACCCATGCTTTGAGCCCTGCTCTACTGTGTTTTCTTGGTGACAAATACATCATACATACACGCCCACCCAGGAGGGAAGCAAATGTATAATGAGGCCTGCTGATCCAACCATCCAGGGCCCTGCCATATGGCCTCTCTTGATTAATATATCTTGACAAATTATTAATTATACTAATTATATAATGAGACAAAATATATATGGGATGTTCAGTATGGGCCCATACACAAAGTACTTGCTATCATAATGCTAACATTAATATTATTGAAAAGAGATTTTCTTTTGGAAAGTGAAAAGCATAACAGTGAAAGATGCATTGCTCTGTATCATAAGCTCATTCTAATGAGTTCAAAATGTGACACACACTTCACCCTGAGATCTCAATGTGGTAATTCCTGGACATGTGGCATCTCTCATCTATCAGAGTTTGGTAAACGTTTAACCTCTCAGCCAGCTTTCCATCCCAAGTGCACTTTTAGACAGAACTTCAGAGAATCAAGTCAGTTTTAATGATGAGCCAGAATTTCCCAATAAGGTAAACAGTACAGTTTGGTCTCTAAAACTACTTACTAATGAATGTGGCCTGCTTTGACACATACTATATAATATGTATATATGTACTACATATATGCTATATAATATGTATGCATATATTACATAAATAATCTACTCACAAGTAGGAAGACCTGAGTTCAGATTCCAGTACCCATGTAAAAAGCCCAGTGGTGGTACACGTCTGTAATGGCAGTGCAGAGGTGAGGGAGAGGGGCAGATAACCGGAGCTCACTGGCCGGCCAGCCTAGCCAATTAGTGAATTCCAGGTTTAGTGAGAGACTGTCTCAAAAAATGATTGAGGAAATGATTGTGGAAAGTGATTGAGGAAGGCATCTGATGTTGACCTCTGGTCTCAAATAGACATGTGTGTATGCACCTGAATACACATACACACACACACACACACACACACACACACACACACACACACACACACAAACACCCCAAGAGAAAGAGATGGATGGACAGACAGACAGACAGATGATAGGCAGACAGGCAGACAGACAGGTAGATAGAACCAAGAAGTGTCTATCCACAAGGTAATGACTTCGTGAAAATAATGATGGACTCTTTTCCTTTCTTGAAGAGAGACAACGGATAAAGTCCTTGTTACCTAAAGTATCCTGTGGAGTCAAAAGAAACACACACACTCGAAGGAAAAGAGTGGTTGGAGGGAAGCCAGCAGACGTGGTAAGCCTGCATGAAAATCACAGTCCTCCAAGGATCAGCCTGAGTCAGACAAAAGTGAGGGAATGGTGTGCCAACAGGGATCAAGACCTTGCGTGCAAATGTCCTAGGGTTGCCTGTCTGTGACACCATCCAATAGAAGGGCAGTAACCACACAATGTCTCTTACAGGGAGACTACCCATGGCAGGTGGCAATTAAGGATGGCGAAAGAATCACCTGTGGGGGAATTTATATTGGTGGCTGTTGGGTTCTGACTGCTGCACATTGTGTCAGGTAAAGATGTCTTCAGTATGTTTCAGTTGTCTTGATACATGAGAAATAAATAATAGAGATGGTGATAGATGATAAATACAAGCTTGTGTGAGAAATTGAGTTCTACTCTGTCATCAGAAGGTATTTTTATGGTATTCATGACCAGGACTGTAGGGACCAGTCCCTCAGAACCTGTGTTCTGATGAGGGTGGAGCTTAGATACTGTAGGATCATGTTTGGGCTCATTTGCACTGTGTTAGGACAAAACTGTCCGGAAGAGTTTGAGCATTTATGAAGGGGTGACACTAACATGGCACCCCCTCTGGTTTGTCCACAAGGACATTAAAGAGCTAGTTTTACTCCACAATCACAGATGATTTTTTCAAATCCACATACCCTTGAATGAATTTAATGTGTATTCTAGGCAATAAAGGACAGGTCCAAAGGTAAATGCTATTTATCTGATACACTGTCCCATCATCGGCTGGCCCACTCTTTGAGTATGGATCAATTATTGACACATGTCCATGACTCAAAGCTGCTTTGAAGACAAGGCATTGTACCAGGTAGGGGTACCACTCGTGTCGCTATTGGGGAGATTCCAGAAGTGCAGCAGGCAATCGCTGAAGAGCCAACTGACAGAGGAGTCAGAGGAAGATCAGTCATACCGTGAAGCCCTTTGACAGGGTTTTGAGATTCTCAGGACAGAGAAAAAGGGTAGGCATAATGTGGACTCAGCTCTGGCACGTGACAAATGGGAAACACAAGTCTGACACGGGTTCTCCGAGGAGCATGATAAGTGGCTGTATTAGTTTGCTGACAGACACCCCAGAGCGGCTGGCTTTAAAAGCACAGATTGATTTCCTCACCATTCTGGAGGCTGGCCGTCCAAGACCAGTGTGCAGTGCTGTTGTTCCTGGAGTCTCTCCTGGCTTGCATGTGCTCTCTTCTCACTGTGCCCTTCAGTACCTTTCCTCTATGCACATGCAGCTCTGAGATTTCTTTTTCCCCATGGAGGCCCCTGTCTTACTGGATTAAAACCCAACCCTTACGACCTCATTAGACCTTAATGACCTGATTAAAAGCACCGTCTCCAAAGACAGTCACACTGGGGCTCAGGACCTCCACAATGCAGCAGATAAAAGTCATCTCACAATACTGATTGCTTGACAAATCAAAGTCAACTTGCAAACGGGCAGAGCTCAGGATTCTCTGCTCAGTTTGGACTTTAGAGCAAATGCAATGTCGTTTAGTGAGCACAGCTTACAGACTGGGTCCCAGGTCAGGCACTTTTACAGGTTACATTTTGTTCAGTATTCTCAGCTGTCATAAAGGGAAACTAAGATTCTTCCAATCTGGCAGATAAGCAAACTGAACAGAGAAGCTAAATAATGCCTTGGCTAAAGACTAGCCAGTCAGTCAGTAGAGCCAGGACATCTGGCATTTGATTGCAATTAAGACGCATGTCTCCTTAGCGAATTTTCAGAGGCCCTTTCTTTCTGAGAGGTGGCATTTACACTGAATGATGAAGTGTGTGTTGAATGACACCTTGGAAAATCCTTGTGGGATGGAACAGAAAGCCCTTCTTCTATCTTCCTTCTTAAAGAGGCTTCTCTCTTAGCTTCTGTGGCCCAGCATGCCCCGGGTTTCTCCCTGCCCCTCCCGCTGTACCCCTCACCTGTCTTACTAGGTTTCTTCTATGCCTGCATCACAGCGCCACTGAACAGTTGAAGTTCAATGTTCAGCCTGGCTTCCTCTTCTCCTCTTACTCACTCTTCCTAAAATTATCTGTGGTCCAGAATCCCATTCTAAGGTCACTAAATGGTAGCCACAGTAGCGCCTTTCCTCCAGCCACTGACGTATAGTCCACAGCCATCCATAGTTCCTGGCTACATCAAAATTACATTGAGAGCTGGAGAGAGGGCTCGTTCAGTTAATTGCTTACTATATAAGCACGAAGACCTGAGTATGAGCTGCAGAACCCATATTACAGACTTTCTAAGCTCGGTGTAGTGGAATGTGCTTGTAATCCCAGCACTGGGGAGGGAGCTCTTTGGGGTCTTGCTGGCCAGCCAGCCTGCCTACTTGGTGAGTTCCAGACCAATGAGAGATCTCACTACACAAACAAGGTTGGTAATGCTTAAGGAACAATATCCAAGACTGATCTCTGGTCTGCACATGCACACACATGCATGTGCACCTGTAAACATATTTGCCGCCCCCGCCCCCTGCCCCCCCACATGAACATGAGCATGCACGCGCACGCGCGCGCACACACACACACACACACACACACACACACACACACACACACACACACACACAGAGCATTGAATTCCAAATGTTCAAGGCCTAGCTTATATGCCACTTCTCTTAAATATTTTCCTGTTCAGTGTTTCCTGTCTAAAGAAACACCATTTACATGGTTAACCCAGCTAGAAATCTAAGAATCATCATATTTCGCTTTCTCAACCTTCAGGCACAGGCATTTTTTTTTTTTGGGGGGGGGGAGGGTTGAGACAGGGTTTCTCTGTGTAGCTTTGGAGCCTTTCCTGAAACTCACTCTGTAGCCCAGGCTGGCCTAGAACTCACAGAGACCCGCCTGCCTCTGCCTCCCGAGGGCTGGGACTAAAGACGAGTGCCATCACCACACGGCAGGCACAGGCATTCTTAATGCTAATTTTTCACCATTAACTTCTCAGACCTCATCTCCTTCACTATCACCCTGTGCCTGCTTGTCATCTGGATTACATGACTTGCCTCCATTTGCCTTACCTACATACACCGCCTACCCACTGCCCTAGCCGTCTGTCCTCCACTGTGTAGCCACGTTAATTCAAGGGCTCTACAGTCCTCTTCAGATGAGCATCTAAACAAAATGTCAACTCATATATCATCTAAGGCCTTATATGATTTGGCCTTTCTCTTCACCAGTCTCATCCCACTGCACACACAGCACCATTTCCTGCTCATTGATCCACCCCCTCTGGGCTTCTTCAGATGCTCAAAAGCAATGGCTCCCTTCTGTGAAGGGACTTTCATATATTCTTTCCCCTCCTGGAATGATCTCTTGACTAGTTAATATTGCTCTTTACTCAGATCTCAAGTCAACCCTTTATCTCCTTATGGAATCTTCCCTGAAGGTTCTCAACCAAAGCCCTCCTGGTAAATTATTAAAAGCCTTTCTCCTGTCCACTCCTCTCACTTCTCACAGAATATATCTCATCATCGTTGTGATCACCCATTTGATCATGTTTTATACATGCTTTCTGGTTTTGCTGACTTCTTGTAGGTGTAACCGTCTTATTAAATAAGAAACACAGAGCCGATTCAGAGAGGAAAGCCAAGAGGTCAGAGCAATAGCTAAGAGCTGAGATTAAAAACCTTACCCTTCACTGCCACTGCTGTCCTACCTCTCTGCAGGAGACCTACTTCCTGTGTTTGTGCTTTTTATTGACTTTCTATTCTGCCTTCTCATTGGTTGTAAACCCAACCACATGACCTCCTCATCATTGCCCATCTGTATAGACCTCCAGGTCTTCTATGGTTGGTATTGAGATTAAAGGCGTGTGTCTCCATGCTGGCTGTATCCTTGAACACAGAGAGATCCGCCTAGCTCTGCCTCCCAAGAGCTGGGATTAAAGGCATGCGCCACCAACGCCCGGCTCTGCTATGGCTTGCTATTAGGTCTGACCTCCAGGCAACTTTATTTATTAACATACAAATAAAATCGCATTTCAGTACAAATAAAATTTCACCATAACTTCTGCACCCCAGTGCCTAGTACAACACCTTGCAGTTGGTAAACACTATATATGTGCCCAGTAAGCCATATAAACAGAGCTAACCTTCAAGAAATATTTATGATCCCCGAGCCTATGGTACAACCCAAAGTAACAAGGATGCCAGCATTCTCAGAACACCTAAGTATAAATAAAAACATCTAAACATCACATTATCTCCTCGGACATTGCTGTTGAACTGTACTATGATTGTCTGAGTCATTATTATAGGAAGCCAAATTCTGTTCAGTTTATACTATTTGATGAGAAAACAGAAGATCACAGATAATTTTTACAAGATATACAGATGATATAATTTAAGAAGATGTTGTAAATGTTCAAGTTTTTTTGCTTATGGACAATACATTTTGTGACACACTTCATTATTTGGAAAGGTTAGATAGTAAGATCATAGGAACAGTTGGGAAATCATCACTTTCTCCATTTACCACTAAGCTAATCCTGTCCTAACTAAATTTAATTTTACAGCTTCATATCAGTGAGGATAAAAACATTCAGAAATTGAAAATTATCCTTTAAAGGGAAGAAAATAAAGATGAAGTGTCAAACTCCATATCTTTTTCTTGATATATTTTATTTCCCTTTGCTTTCTCTTACAGACCCAGTAGAGCTCCCCATTACCAAATATGGACAGCATTATTAGACTGGCTAAATCCTAACACTGAGTTGAGAGTTCGAACAGTGAGCAGAGTTATTGTTCATGAGAACTATAATGGAGCCACCTACCAAAATGACATAGCTTTGATTGAAATGAAAAAGATTCCAGGGAGGAAAGACTGTGAGCTCTTTAATTCTGTCTCTGCCTGTGTCCCGTGGTCTCCGTATCTATTCCAACCGAATGAGAAATGCATCATCTCCGGATGGGGTCGAGAGAAAGGTATATGCTTTACCTCTCGGGGTGGGAACTGAATGGGAAATGGATGGAAACTACTCTAGTACTCAGAGAAATATCACGTACAGAAAAGTGAGTGCCCATCCAGGAAGGGCTGCTGCCTGCCTGGGCTCAGAACTTGAGTAGCTGCTCAGAACCCCAATGTCAGCAGGGCCACATGAAACTGGAGTTGTTGGTTAATTCTAGAGTACTTGTCTAACGTGTGCAAGTTCCCGGGTTTGATCCCCAGGACTGAAAACAAGAAACCAAATGTGTTCTTGTGATAGTGCACATCTATAATCCCAGAAGCAGAAGCAGGAGGATCAGGAGTTCAAGACCATCCTTGAGGCCAGCAAGATTTGCTTCATTTTTGACCTAGAGAGGTGTTAAGCAGTTTTATTTCAAATGGACCTCCTGTGAGATGAAGTGCAGAAAGGGGATCACAGTTCCATATACTGTGTTGCTCAGCACAGTGCTGAGATGCAGGCAGGAGAGTGATTTGGCATCAAACATTTGTAAGGTGTTTGTAATTAAATTACTGCGACTCTACGCAGTCACTAATTGCATTAAGTATTTAATAAACAACTACTTTGTGTAAGAAGATTCTGGATGTTGGTGAGGAATGAGGCAGGCCTAGTTCCCGAGCTCCTGGAACTTTGCGCAGTGAGTAAGCAGACGCCAAACGAAAAGCTGCATCATAAAATTCTGTGATCTGGAAGACGGAAGAGGGGAGAAGGAGCAAAGTCTCGCTCCCCCCTCCATCCGTCTCCCCTGCGTGCTTATGCTTCTCTCTTTTCCCACGGTCCATCAGCCAGTAGCACATGGCCCTTCTCTTCCCACAGACCAAAGATGTTCAAGTCCACAAACTCACTTAAGTGTAAGGACGTTCTATCTCCTTGTGCATCATTTCAGATCACTTATATAGGCACTTCCTCGAGCACAAAAACACAAACACATTGACAACTTCAACTTCTAACTTCTTCAAGGCTGCTTCCTCTCTAATAGTAATTTCAAGGAAATTACTAGCTGTAAGAAAAGATATCCAAGATGTGCACATGAGATAGCCCCATCACTGCCTCCTATGCCATCCCCTACTGAACCCAGCAATAGGACAGGGCTGTCCCTCAGTCATAAGGGTCAGTGCTTTACTAAATGACTGTGTTTCAGGCCACGTGGTCAATAACTTTCCTTCACTGTTCATTTAAATTTAGAAATGTAATTCTAGGAACTAGGGCTATGAAGAGAATATGATGTGAATATGGTGTAAATATGCTAATTCATATACATAATATTAATCATGTATATTCATTTCTCTCCTTAATGGTTTACTAAATTATGACCACCTTTATTGAGATTTCTCATTTGTGGCTTCTACATGTCTGTTTTCTCACTTTGTGTAGATAACCAAAAAGTCTACTCACTTAGGTGGGGCGAAGTGAACCTGATAGGCAACTGCTCTCAGTTTTACCCAAATCGCTACTATGAAAAAGAAATGCAATGTGCAGGTAAGCGCCAAGGGGTTAACCTGGGCTATGCGTTGTATCAGTCTGCTTTTGACACTGCCGGTTTCTAACTGCATCTCCTTACACTGTGCTGTAAAGTACGTGTGCCAAGCAGGAGGACTATGCTAAGTTAGGGATACAAACAAAAGGTTTACGAATTATTTCCTATGTTGCATCTCAATCTGCAATCCCAAGAGGGACCCTAGGGCATCCCGTTATTTCCTGTGAGGAAAGGTTTTTTAAAAGTACAAGTGTTCCCACGCACCAGTGTGAGCGGCAGAAGAGAGGCATGGTGGCCTGACAAATGGAAGGAAATGTGATTTTTCTCTCTTAGGTACCAATGATGGGTCCATCGATGCCTGCAAAGGAGACTCTGGAGGTCCCTTGGTCTGCATGGATGTCAACAATGTGACCTATGTTTGGGGCATTGTGAGTTGGGGTGAAAACTGTGGAAAACCAGAATTCCCAGGTGTTTACACCAGAGTGGCTAATTATTTTGACTGGATTAGCAATCATGTGGGAAGATCCCTTATTTCTCAACATAATGTCTGAAGCTATGACCTCCTTCTTTCTACAGATATTAATTCAGGAGTCATGTTTTAATTAAAATAAAACTGTGTAATTATTTCTCAGAGCTGGCAAGAAGCAAGTCTTACTGGCCAGTTCTAAAGGTTTCTTCAAAGTTTATGCCATTTTAGAATTCTGCTGTATACTTTCCAAATAAATATTCTGCTTAAGCATACAAGGTTTTTGGTTGTTGTTTTTTTGTTGGTTTGGTTTTTTAGTGTTAGCACCACTCAGCTACACCTTTGACCGACAAATTTTATTTACAGGAAGTTTGACTAGATGAGCTCTTCAGGCAGGAATGAGGTTTTGACTACAGTAAAGGCAGAGATAATTCGGAGACATTGGAATTACACAAGACTGTTCACGCCACAGATCTGCCACCTACTGTATTAGACCTTGGGTGACTTATTCTTTTCTTTGTGTCTTGTTGTCCATCTGTATTTTGTGATTTTTCCCCCCCTGGGGAGACATGAACAAGCATCTGTTCACCCCAGATAGGGCACCAACTGAAGACCAAAGAAATCATTCCACCCAAGTCTAGCTTGGTGAACCAATGAATATATTGGGGTTCCTTACAGGAACATGGGAGAGCAGTTACTTAAGGCAGCTGGAACAGCAAGAGCCTCACCAACCATGGGCGACAACTCACAGAACGTGCATCTCCGGGGCTCCCCATCCAATCTGTAGGCAATTCCATGAAAGAGAGTCTCCTCTCGCAGCCACTGTTTACCGCTAACACTCCCCAGGAGAAGGACCTAGTGAATCCTGTACCTTTCTGAGCTTCCTGTGTCGGGTGAGTCTCTTCAGTCTCCTGCCCTTTATGAACCTCTCTCCTTCCTCGGGGTGGAGGAAAAGCCACAAGACAGCCCACAAGAAACGGTGTGAGGACGAAACCCTGTGTTTATGTTGAAAGCCTGGTGTGGTCTCTGTCACAGGGCAATGATACCTCCCAGCTCTTGTCCCATTCCTCAGCTTCTTTAAGTACTAAAACATTTTCCTCCAATTTGTCTTTGCCCTTCATGTCACAAGCTCCCCTTGACCCTTTCTGGAAACCCCTCCACAGCCCACACTGTCACAGCCACGTGACTGCTCTCAGGTCAGCAACAGGAGTCTCTTCAGTTCCTTGTTCTCAGCCTCCTGGCCAGCCACGTCCTTCTGGTTGCTTCTTTTACTGTGCTCTTTCTCGGACGTTTTGTATCTTGACTCAGTGTCCAGTTCCACTCACAGTCCAAGGACTCATGAGTGCATGTGTCCAGCCCTGACATGTCCCAGAAGAGCAGACTGAATGTGCCACTAAGTAGCAGGCATTCACAAGTCATGCTCCCCTCCCCCTCCCGCTTCTGCACGTGACATCACCATCCTCTCAGGCCTCAGCAAGAGCTCCATCTCCATCACCCTGTCCTGCTTTAATCTTGGAACAGCATTTATCATTCTCCCAACATTGTTTTTATTGGTTTACTACCTCTTTTCCAACAGTCACCCCAAGTACACTGTAAGGCAGGGGAGAGTCCTTATCTGTCCTCCTCTTGGCTGCGGCTCTTGCCCTTAATTCAGAGATGTTCAGTAAATCGGCATTAACCGACTTTAGGATTTGTTTTAAACTCAATGCTGTCCATTATTCATAATAGCAAGAACCTGGAAACAACCTAGATGCCCCTCAACTGAAGAATGGATAAAGACAATGTGGCACATATACACAATGGAGTACTACTCAGCAGAGAAAAAACAATGATATCATGAAATTTGCAGGCAAATGGAAGGAACTAGAAAATATCATCTTGAGTGAGGTAACCCAGACTCAGAAGGACAAACATAGTATGTACTCACTCATAAGTGGATACTAGATGTGAGGGAAGGGATGGCCAGACTGCAACCCACAACTCCAGAGAGGCTAGCTAACAGGAAAAGACCCTAGGAAGGACACATGGATGACCCTGTGAAGGAGAAGTGGATGAGATCTACATGAGTGGACTGGGGGTGGGGGGTGGCAGAGGGCGAGGAGTAGGGGATGAGAACATAGGGAAATGGGAGGGTCAAGCTGGAACAGGGACAGAGTGGGAGGGCAGGGAGGGAGATACCATGATAGATGAGGACATCATGGGAATAGGAAGAGGCAGGGTGCTGGGGAGGCTCTCAGGAATCCACAAGGTTGACCCCACCTTAGTCTGCTGGCAGTGGTCCAGAGGGGGTCTGGACCGGTCTACTCTGGTGACCAGCCTAGCAAATAACCTAGCTGTCATCATAGAGCCTTTGTCCAGTGACAGATGGAGGCAGATACAGAGATCCACGGCCAGGCACCAGGCTGAGCTCTGGGAATCCAATTGATAAGAGAGGAGAGATACTGCAGGCGAGGGACGTCAAGATCATGATGGGAGGACGTGCAGAGATGACCGGCCACACTAGTGGAAGCCCATGAACTGTGGACTTGTTGCATGAATCGTAAAAGTTCTTATTAATAAAATCAAACCTGTGGCCAGTTATTGGGGTGAACACTGGAAGATCAGAGACAGAACAAGCCACAGCTAACCTCACCTGGCCAACTTCTCAGCTGGTCTTCTTTCCTCAGACTGGAAGCTTCTGTGTCCTCATCCCAGTGGCTCTCAGCTGAACTGCTGCTGGAAAGCCTGAAGCTTAACCAGCCAAATGCTTCCAGTTTCTGGTCCTCACGCCTTATAAACCTTTCTGCTTTCTACCACCACTCCCTGGGATTAAAGGCTGCTTTCTGGGATTAAAGGCGTGAGTCACCATGCCTGGCTGTTTCCAATGTGGCCTTGAACTCACAGAGATCCAGAGGGATTTCTGTCTCTGGAATGCTAGGATTAAAGGCATGTGCTAACATTTTCTAGCCTAAGTATCTTGTGGCTTTTCTGTTCTCTGACCCCAGATAAGTTTATTAAGGTACACAATATTTTGGGGAACACAATACCACCACAGTGGACTGGTGGCTGTGGAGTCCCCATGGGACTGGAGTAGGCCCGCTGGATACAGAAGATGGTTGGTTGGCTTGAACTGTTTGGGGGGCACCCAGGCAGGGGGATCAGGATCTGTCCCTGGTCAATGGGCAGGCTTCTGGAATCCGGTGCCTGTGGTGTGACACCTTGCACAGCCTTGGTGCAGTGGGAAGGGGCCTGGACCTGCTTAGGCTCAGTGTGCTGGGCTCTGCTGACTCCCCATGGGAGACCTCGATTTGGGGGATGTGGGGATTCGGGGTGGCTTGGGAAAGAGGGCTGGGGGTGGGAGGAGGGAGGAGGGGGGGTGTCTGTGGATAGTATGTGGAGTGAAAAAAAAAGAAATGGTAATTGTGTTATAATGAAATAAATAGAATATATGTAAATTATATTTTTATATATTTTAATTATAAATGCTAGTTGTTTACTATGTAAAGTTATAATATATTATGGATAGATTTATAAATGAATATTTAAAATGGAAAAAAAAATAAAATCAATGCTGTCGTTGTTGAAGCAGTGAGTGGAGACATCTGTCTCCATCTGGGTTCTTGTCCCATCCTCCTCCAGAAACTGTCTTGGTCAGACAATGAGGAGTACCAAAAGGAGGTGCTTTATTGTCTGTTCTGGGTTAACAACGTGAAACAATTTGCCGTGAACTCACAGTAGCAACCAGATGCTAGTGAAGAGCTGTTACAGCTCCTGGACAATGTGTGGAAGATACCTTCGAGGCTACCTGTGTGTGGAAGTGTAAAAGTGGTAAAGGCTGCAGGCTCAGAAGCCCCTTCTGCAGTGACCTGAAACCTGCAAAACAAACAAAAGCCCAGAACGGACTGGAGCCAGGGTCTCTCTGCAGGGCAATGACACAGCTCTACGAGGCGGCTGCATATAGGGAAAGACCAAGTAGAGGAGGGGTGGGAGGGTCTGACCGCAGGGTTTTATCCGTTCGGAGGTCTCTCTCAGGGTCCTCACTCACGATAATGCGATCGGCTTACTGCAAACATAGATCCAATGCCCCCATCAGATTGGCCTGCACACAGGTCAGTGGGCCATATTCTTGATTAATCATTAATGTGGGAGGGCCAGGGAAACTGGGGGCGGGGGCGGGTGTCACTCCTGGTGAGACTGAGACATTTAAGAACAAAAACTGAGCAAGTTAGGAGGAGCATGCCAGTAAGCAGTGTTCTTCCATGGGCTCTGCTTCGGTTCCCACCTCAGGCTCCTGCCCTGACTTCTTGCCCTGACTTCCCTCAGTGATGAACTGTTGCCCAGAGCTGTAAGAGGACGTAAGGTCTTTCACCTGAAAGTTCCCTCTGATCACAATCTTTATCACAGCAACAGAAACCAAACCAAACAGGTGCTACTGTCTCTTCATATAGTCTTGCTTTTATAACCAACTTAAGTTGAAAGTAAGGATGACAGGAAAGCCCTCACCTCTCTCAGGAAAGAGACCCCAGGCCATCCTGAAGACAAAGAGTTAACTCAGAACAACTGCGGCTGCTTATTGGCGAGTTATGAGAACCAAGAGAGCTAAATGTAATTACCAGCCCTTGAGACACGGGCAAGGTAAGTGTGTGTGTGTGTGTGTGTGTGTGTGTGTGTGTGTGTGTGTGTGTGTGTTTGTGTGTGTGTGTGTGTGTGTGTGTGTTGGGGGTGGTGGTAATAACACCTGCCAACTAACAGCCAGCAGATGGTCAATGCCAATGTTAAAGCTAGAGTCAGAAATGGACAAAGCGGGACCTCAACCACCCACTACCTGGGTGGGCAGCACATGATACATGATCATCTCTCTGGTTGGGACAGGAGAACATTCAGAGGGCATATGAACCCTCCACTGGCATGGCTCATCATAGCTCAGAGAACTAATAAATCTCATGGCAATCTCAGCATGTGTCCAGTCTCTGTCACAGCCCTTTTAGAACCTTTAGAAAACAAAGTTCACTGGCTTTTTCCTCTCTTCAGAACGCTTCCCACTCTTGGGAGGGTCTCTCACTTTTCCTCAATTTCTTTCTTTTTCTTTTTTGTAATTCTTCTTAAGAAAGCATAGCCCATGCCGGGTGGTGATGGTGCACGCCTTTAATCCCAGAACTCGGGAGGCAGAGCCAGGCGGATCTCTGTGAGTTCGAGGCCAGCCTGGACTACCAAGTGAGTCCCAGGAAAGGCACAAAGCTACACAGAGAAACCCTGTCTCGAAAAAACAAAAAAACAAAAAAGAGAGAAAAAGAAAGCATAGCCCACAACTGTCCATATCTTTAATCTTCACTGGCGTGAGACAATAAACTCAAAGCTACTATTTCAGGTCAATCTGATGACCATGTGTGGTACCCTCGGGTCATATAACTGGGCTATGAAGTCTGTCATAATTGAGATTCTTCCGTCACATGGGACCAACTGGGAAGTAAAATATGAAGCTGCACTTTGCAGGAACAATAGTGAAAACTCAGTGGCGATCAGCCTGCGGTGTCAAAGAGGGCTCCCCCAGAGGTGAGCTTAATCTGACTGATGGAACGTGATGGTTATGGTTAGCTGCCAGAATAGCGTTAACTTGCCAGAATCTAGAATAATGTAGGAGATGAGCCTCTGCACATGTCTGCGCAGAACTATCCTCAATACATTGATGTGAGAAGACCTATCTCAATCGGCGGCAGGACTATTGCCCAGGCAAGGGATCCTAGGCTATATAAAGTGGGCAAAGTGATTCATTGGTTACTCTCTGCTTTCCAGTGGTGATGGCACCGGCTGCTTCAAGCTCCAGCCTCTTTGTCCTCCTCACTGTGATCAACTGGACCCTAGAACTGAGCCAGGAAAACGAACAAACCTTCTCCCTTAGGTGTTTTCTTTATATTTTATTACTATTACTATTAATTATTATTGCATGTGTGCGCGTGTATGTACAGGTCAGAGGACATCTTGGGGGACTCTCTTCTCTCTTTCTACCATGGCGTTCTATGGATCAATAGCTTATCAGGCTCATGGAGCAAACACTGCCACCTCCTGAGCTATCTCACTAGTCCTTAAGGTCCCTTCTGCCTGAGTGCTTTCTCATGGCAACAGGAAAGAAAACGAAGCCATGGAAGAGCTTTCCAAGGAGTGGCACGAGCCAAGGCCTTGCAACTTAGGGAGCCAGCCACACACACAGGTTGGAGAGCAGCTCTGTGTCCTTGGCGCCCAGGGTGCCTCAGAGAAAAGAACAAGCCAGGTGGGGCCTCCGAGAGTTGAAATCACTGAAGAATTCTAGAAAGTCCAAGCAGGAGGCAGGGTGGAAGATGTATAGTGGCGGGTGGAGGGTTGAGACGAGACATGGAAGCCAGGAGAATCTTAGACTATTTAAAGGGGAACTGAGGAAGACAGAAGCCAAGGCAAGGGTCGGAGAGACTGACCCTGACGTTAGATAAAACATGGTACCAGGGAGAGGCATTTGAGTCTATGGCAATTATGAGATTTTTCTCTTAATTATGAGGTGATTGGTGTGGCCATGGGTGACAGATAAAATAAAGAAGTGAGGGACTGAAGCGGGTTTAACCAGTTGGGTTACTTTGAATTTGTGATGTCACATGGGAGCTCAGTGAAACTGCACCGTGTGCAATAGAGGAGACAAGGGTCCAGGGAATCTGGCATTTGAGAATGTAATTCCTAGAGACAGACAGCAAACTGGGTTCTCAGAGGACAGGTTATTGTTAAGGTAAAAGATAGTAGTCAACCAAGATGTAACTGTGTAAAGAAATAGAAAAGAGAGGCTTGGTGCCAAGATCCTGGCACTTGAGAGGCCTGTGGAGGAGGATGGTGTTTTTAAGGTAAGTGAAAGGGCAGCCTGGGCTACAAGCCAAGATCCTGTCCCAGAAAAATAAACAAAAAGGGCTTTGGGTTTTAACTGAGGGCTGGTCTTAGTGCATTCTGTGCTGTTCTGGAAGACATATTCCTGGACCAGGACATCTCTCTGGTAGAAGAATTAAATGAGCCAAGCCTTGCTTTAAAATTCTGGTGATACAGTTGGTTGGGACCTCAGCAATCAGCCAGTGCAGTAACATCCAATGATCTGTGCTTTCTCTGTGTCCTCTCCCTAATCTGTGGTTATCCTTTCACTACGGTATCTAGAATTTTTAGGAGGGGTGACTGTGAATTCTGTCTTCCTTAAAATTAGACAGAGACTAGAGGAAGTGCTCTAACTCAGCGGTTCTCAATCTGTGGGTCCGACCCTTCAGGTTGCAAGGGGTCGCACACCGGATACCCTGCATATCAGATATTTACCTTACAGTTCATAACAGTAGTAAATTACAGCGATGAAGTAGCAACGAAATAATTTTATGGTTGCGAGGTCACCACAACATGGAGAACTGTATTAAAGGGTCCCGGCATTAGGAGGGTTGGGCACCACTGCTCTGATTGAGAAAGGGGTCCATCCTGAACGACCCTCAGACGGAGAAGCTACTTACAGTGCTTGGATTGCAGCGGGTCATGAGGTCCCCATGAGGACCCAAGCTCTGTAGAGTGCAGGGGGCTCGCCCTGGCAGTCACGTGATCGAACAAGCCCCTGCACTGGACCCTTGGCCACGCTCAGAAAAGGCCAAGACAGCAGAGCCCCGCAAGTCAGGCTGTGCCACGGGGGTCGTTCTTCACTGGGACGCGATATGACAGCTGAAAAGAAAAAACAAAAACAAAAACTCACTGGTGCTGAACCAAAGCAACGTATCCGTCCAGTGCATGGTCGTTTTTATGACTCCACAGAGGTGGGACGGAAAGAACGGGGAGCGTTCCCGAGACCACGTGGGCGAGGAAGTCGCCGCCTCGCCCTCGGGGCTCCCACGCTCCTGCGCAGGCGCACTCTGCAGGACGCGGCCCCGGGGAGCGGGGAGCGGCGCGCGCCCGCGCAGCCCGCCTTTCCGCGCAGCCGGGGGACGGGGCGCGACCCCGCGGGCGCGGAGGAGGCCGGGAGCCGAGCCGGAGCGCGCGCCGCTGCCCAGCCCGGCCGCCCGGCCGTGCAGATGATAGATGGTGGCTCCGCGACCGTCACCCGCCCGGGGGCCCGCGCTCCTGCTCCTGCTCCTGCTCCTGCTGGCCACCGCGCGAGGCCAGGAACAGGACCAGACCACCGACTGGAGGGCCACGCTCAAGACCATCCGCAACGGCATCCACAAGATCGACACGTACCTCAACGCCGCGCTCGACCTGCTGGGCGGCGAGGACGGCCTCTGCCAGTACAAGTGCAGCGACGGTGCGCCGCCGGGGGGCGCGGGGCGGGGAGAGGGGACGGGACGGGTGCGGGGCAGGGGGATGGGAGGATGGATGCGGGGCAGGGGGACAGGTACGGGGCAGGGGGATGGAGGGGCAAGTGAGGGGCAGGGGGATGGAGGGACAAGTGTGGGGCAGGAGGAATGGGAGACAGGTAGGGGGATGGAGGGACAAGTGTGGGCCAGGGGTATGAGGGGTACAGGTGCGGGGCGGGTAAATGAGAGGATTGGTGCGGAGCAGGGGGATGGAGGGACAGGTGCGGGGCAGGGGGATGGAGGGACAGGTGCGGGGCAGGGGGATGAAAGGATAGGTGCGGGGCAGGGGGATGAAAGGATAGGTGCGGGGCAGGGGGATGGAGGGGCAAGTGCAGAGCAGGGGGAGTGGAAGGGCAAGTGCGGGCCAGGGGGATGGAGGGGCAAGTGCGGGCCATGGGCATTGGGGGTACAGGTGCGGGGCAGGGGGATGAGAGGATAGGGGCGGGGCAGGGGGATGGAGGGACAGGTGCGGGGCAGGGGGATGAAAGGATAGGTGCGGGGCAGGGGGATGGAGGGGCAAGTGCAGAGCAGGGGGGTGGAGGGGCAAGTGCGGGCCAGGGGGATGGGGGAACAGGTGTCAGGCAGACGTGGACCGGCGTCCTCGGGTGTGGAAAGAATGAGCGGCGCTTGGAGCGTGCTGTCCTTGGGATTGAGCAAGCTGGGAACAAGTGTGAGAGAGAGGTCACCCGAGTGCGCGCTCTGCACTCTGCTCTCTCCGTTGCTTCTGGTATTATTTTTTTTCCGCCCGCCCTCCTCCCTCCCCATTTTCTTTTCCGGCAGTTGCACAGAGTTGCCTAAGATGTAGGAACCCTGGAAGTGGAGTGGAACATACTGATTTTAGCGCGGGCGGGCGGACACACGCGCGCGCGCGCGCGCGCACACACACACACACACACACACACACACACACAGCCTTGTAATTGAGTCAGCTGAGCATATAAAGCCCAACGAGAATTTTAGAGCCATCAGTTGATATTAAGTGGCATTTTGTTATCTTGCAAAGCTAAGGAAAAATAAATTGTGGCTTCTGTGTCGATTTCTGGTGTACTTGGTTTTTGAGGGAGGTGCACTGGATTGAAAGAGTTTTGCTAACTTCTAGGAAATAGTGTATTAAGACTTGTAGTTTTGTTTGGTGTTTGAGAGAGTCTCAGGTAGCCCCCACAGACATCAAACTTGGTGTAGCTGAGGCTGGCCTTGAACTCTTGAACTCAGGTGCTGGGATGAGACACCCACCGTGTCCATTTTGTAGCTTTCTTTCCTTGGATATCAGTGGCTTCTCTTCCTTACTCTCTGTCATTATTTTAGTTTTGTTTTGTTTTGTTTTTTCTCACTCTTTTCATGGTTTTAAACTTTCCATTTGAATCCAAGAACTTGCTTTATGGCACTGTGGATGGTAATAAAATCAGCACTCAAGGCAGGGATTTGGGTGTTTGGGGGTTTTGTTTTTGTTTTGTTGTTGTTGTTTAAATGTTTTTTTTTTAGCATTTGAATTTTTTGAGGGGATGGGGCTTCTGTTTGGAATTTCAAAATGTTAGGATAGAACTTGAGAAATCAAGTTTCTTATGAGATTAGCCAAGGCTACCAGCTGAAAATAATAGGGAAATCCATGACCTTGGTGAGAAAGTCTGATTGCAGAGTTGGTGATCTTAATAAAAGCCTCTATCCTGTAAAACTGTGATGCTGACTGCAGCCTGTGAGTCTCCAGATAACCTCCACCTTTCCATTCATATAGAAAACAGACCATTGCTTCTAACGATCTTAAAATTGCACCGGCGAGTGCCAGATGTATTTGGGGACTTTGTAAAATGTACTAGGGGACTTCGTGGGTAACAAGGATTAAATGATAACTTTGTTAAAGCAAAAGTTCTAACTTAATTCCTGATCATTTTGCAAATATCAGTCTTGACCACATGTCAGTGGTTGATAGGCCGGGGTTCAGCAGTGGCAGATGAAATCCCTGACCCTGGAGCTTCTGTTCTGGTGGGAAGAAGCAGGCAGTGAGTCCAAGAGCTGTGTGCTCCCTGACCTGCTGGGAGCCAGTGCCTTCAACAATAAACTTTCCCAACCTAAATGGAAGATTGGCGCAGTGGTACTGGGAAGGACTGTGTGAGCTGTTTGCCCTTTAGATAGGATGTTCCAGGACAGAAGAACATCTCAGAATTGGAAAGTAGCAAGAGTGCTCTGTGATAATCAGGGAAAGATCACCCCAGGCCGAGGGAGTACACAGTTCTAGGGGATAGGACCATCAGAAGGGCAGTCAAGGTGACTCTGAGGGATCCGTCTGTGGCAACAAAAAGATGCAGCTGTTATTTACAGAGATGAGGATGGCTTCAAAGGTACAGTCTTCATAAACAGCTCTGAGTCCTGGGCTGTAGAGGTGTTACGTTGAGAACACCTCAAAATGATACTGTTCCTCTGAAGGGTTGCTTTAAACTTTCCTTTTCCTCGTTTTCATTTTCTTCAAGTCTCACAACATTTGCCCCCAGGCTCTTAGGTAAGGCAAGAACTGCTGAATGCCGCAAATGTGTGTGCTTGCATACACTGAGAGCTCAGTGTTCGGGACCCTCTTCCCTTCGGGTCCTCTTCCCTCGGGTGGGGAAAGGCCTTAGTGAGTGATGTGAAGTTTTTAATGGGAGCAATTTTATGTTTGCCATTTTCCCTTAACTTGTGCGTGTGTGTGTGTGTGTGTGTGTGTGTGTGTGTGTGTGTGTGATGCATGTGGGTGTTTGGGTGCTGGGCCCATGTTTGCACATGTAGAAGCTAAAAGGGAGAATGTTGACGGGCTTTTTCTCTTCACCTTTGGCTCTCTCTGAAAGTGAGGCGCACTTCGCTTTGCCAGTGAGCTCCTGGGATCTGCCCCCCAACAGGCAGGCACACACTCCCCCGCCCAGCTGTTTACCTGGGTGCTAGGGATGGGAACTCAGCTGACTCCATGTGGCTGGCGTAACCACCACCCTTACCACTTGAGCCGGCTTCCCAGCCCTTAGCTTTTTTTCTCTCTGACATCAAAGGAAATGAAGGGAGAATAGTTTTCCATTTCTGTTGAGAAATAAAGGTAAGATAGCTGTTTCTAGAATTTTGAGTAAGTTGCTCATTCCTCTGGTGATATGTGTGCTAACAGGGACCTCTGAGTGCTGTACTGAGAATTAAGCATCAGTGGAGGTAAGGAAGCCAGAATAGAGCTAGGCTGCTGTGTGCAAGGGTCCAGACAAAAGGTTGCGGTGATTTTGTCTAAGCTGGTAGGAGATGGAGTGATGAGAGGGTTGAGTTTGAGGTGTAATTTGAAGGAAGAACCTAAAGGATTTGCTGTTGGCTTGGCAGTGATTGTGACTAAGGCAGGAAATGATAGCAGAGGTGATGGAGGAGAGGCGGAGGGAATACTGGAGTCATGTCCTTGCACACCTGAAAAGTATAGTTTCTAGTGTGCAAAGAGAGAGGCTGGCCAGGAGCAGGCAGCCTCCCCTGTTAATAGGGTGGAGGTAGGATGTGGGCGCACACGGTATGTGCGTGGGTTCCGATTGGGAAGAAGGAATGAAGCCATTAGCTTCTAGAAGTCCTAAGAACGATGTCAGGAGACCTGAGGGAACTAGGAAATGGTTGGCCTCGGAGGAGAGAGTTTCTCTCAGGGCCACATGGAGATGAATGGTTTAAGTCTCCAGTGTTTAGCAGGTTGGGAGTGCCCGCTGTACGTCCTACAAACCCAGTGTAAGATCTTTGTGTGACCCAGTTACCTCCTCTAAGAGTCCCACCTGCTTCATTTTCTTTCGGTGAAATGAGTGTGTCTGTTTGAGAGCATTTATATCAACTTTGGAAAAAATAATGTGGGGGCGGGGGAGGGGGGAGAGAGAATGGTAAGTTTCTCAGTTCCTGTAAATACTTGGGTTTTGGCTGCATGGGGAGATGAGGAAACATTAAGAAGTCCACCACTTAGGTCAGCGGTTCCCAACCTTCCTCATGCTGGGACCCTTTAATACAGTTCCTCATGTTGTGTGACCCCCAGCCATACAATTATTTTGTGCTACTTCATAACTGTAATTTTGCTACTCTTATTAATCATAATGTATATATGGAATGTGCAGGGTGGTCTTAGATGACCCCTGTGAAAGGGTCATTTGACCCCAGAGGGGTCGTGACCCACAGGTTGAGAATCGCTGGCTTATGTC